CAATGTGGATTCTAATCAATCGCCTACTGTGCATGTTGCAACCTATAGAGGAGCTTCAGGACTGCGATGCACCTGCCAAAAGGTCTATTGATCTCAACTACAGCTCATTGCCTCCGCAACTTGTAATTTTCAAGGCACTGAGGTCGAAGCATTTTGTTCTCGCGGCAGTCTGTTCAATGGTATTGCTTGCCAATCTTTTAGCTGTTGCATTCGCAGGCATCTTCAACCAGGACTCGGTCAGCATACGGTACCCTGCGGAATTTAGTTCTCCATTCGAGTTGAAGTTCGTCTCGGTGAACGGAAGCATCGGGCCCAAAAGTGGCGATGAGTTCGGCTCTCTCGAAGCTTCAGGCGCATACCGTGGCGGCAGCACGCAGGATCAGTTCCTTATTGCCGAATCCAACTTTACGCGAGGAACTCCTCTCCCTGCATGGACCGACGAGAAAATGCTTTACCTACCTTATTTCAGTGCGGCAGATGTGAATGCGACGGAAGGGCGCGACTACCGGGCTGAAACCTCGGGATTTGGTGCCGAGCTCAACTGCGAGACTCTTGACTTCGGCGTGCACTATCGCGCCAGGCTAGTCAGCGATGGTTCAAACATTCAGGCTGTCTTCAACATCACAGATCCTGCGGACTCTGAAGAAGCAGTATGTCCGGTCAGGGTAGCACCAACAATTCTGTGGGGCCCGAGTAGACCAGGGCCACGACCAGAGATCAACGGTACTTGTCAACGTGGTCCAAGTGCCACAGAGTTAGTCTTCGTTGCCGACGCGAATGCAAACGCTACTCAAGAAGAGAGAGATGCTTGTATGACAACGATCATCATGGGATGGATCAGAGCACCTGATGGATCCTGTGGCGATTTCGCGGAAAGAGATTTGGACAAAAGCAATTCGGTGTTCGTTCGTTGCAAGCCAAAGATTGTTATAGGAAGAGCCACAGTGCAAGTCGATGCAACCGGGCGACTGCAAGAAAAAGTTGCGGATCTGAACATCGAGGGCGATGCCCCGGAAAAAGCATTTACGAACGGCGCCGTCGACGTGATTGGGCAAGCGAACCGGTACATATTCAAATACTCCGAAAGTGGTTGGCACAACGACAGCAACGCGGAAGATCCGATGAACTACTTCGCTCGACGCGAATCAAACAGCACACGCCTCAGCGATCCGAACCAACCGGTTCCTACACTAGAAGATATCCAAGTTCCTCTTGGCAAGGCCTTTTCACGACTCTTTGCAATTTGGCTTGGAACCAATAAGGAGAAGTTGCTGGTGCCACGCAGCAAGGCGAACGAAGCGCAGGTCCAAGGTTGGACAGTGGACAAGGAGCAAAGGCTCTTCGTCTCCACTCCTATGTTCATCATTTCTGAAGCTATTCTTGGCATCTACATCATTGTTGCAGTCATGGTGTATCTGCGCCGACCTGGACAGTATCTTGCGCGAATGCCTACGTCCATCGCGTCAATTATCAGCTTGTTTGCCGCCAGTGCGGCGGTGCAAGACATGAAAGAGACTTCACATTTGAATAGAAAGGGACGTGCTCGTCATCTCGATAGGCTGGGGTCACGCTATGGATATGGTAGTTACATCGGGGGAGATGGAAGAGTGCACATCGGGATTGACAAAGTACCGTTTGTGCGAGTCAGGTCGAAAACTACCTGGCTGGAACGGAAGGTTCATTCCTTCCGGAAGGGCTCGTTGGGAGGGTCCTAACGAATAAGCAATCTCTGGGACAAACAGTAGAAATTACATCAACACACCATATTTCGACGCTTCCGATACTATAATGCTGTTGCATCGAGCTAAGAGCGTATTTCAGTGATGTGGATGGTCAGTAGTAGAATGAGCATTGAGGCTGCTGAGGCACCAATATCACGTAACCGCCTACGCGGACCAAACCTAGGTGTTGAGGTATCACAAGCTAGGACCTTATGTCTATCCGGCTACAACGGTCATGTACAAGTCGGCCTGATCAAGCTCTAGCTTGACAACAGGACCGGTTCTTCTTCCACAATCTTTGAAGAAATTACTCGACGTACACTTCCCCGTTGGCGCCGAGGGCATTGAACTGGGGCCCTATGATTGGACCTATAGTAATTATAACTAGTGTCCCAAATTTCGGCAAGACCGGTAGCTCGCCATGTCCGAACCGCAAACTCTATGGTTACAATGTTGGAAAAGCAACCAAAGGACGGAAAGAACGTAGCAGATCGAAGGAACTCCGTAGGCGGGGTATAGAAGCTGTAGGCGAGACCTTCAGCCAGAGTTACCTCGTGGATGATGAATGTGTAGATCCTGCTCCGCTACCATCCGTTATATCTGCACGATAATGATAGTTCGCTGCCGTATTGACGAAACGACAGAATGCGTGCCGCAGCTGTTTACTTGCCGTTCGACGCTACAAACCTAGTCCACCGCGTGCGGGTGTCGTACAGGCCGCCTCAAGGCTATTGCCAGATGTGTGCACCGTGCTTTTGAAATTACTCTGTTCAGACGAGGTTAGGATGCGGGCTCAGTATCAGCTCTAGTGAGCGAGCCAGAGCAGCCTCTGGGCGCGACCTAGACAATGCTACACTGAGTTGCTTGCAGCTATAGTCAGTCAATGGAGAACAAGTGAGTATCGTTGAGTAGAAGCGCTCCCACACAAAGCCATTCTGCTACTATATCAGTGGCCAAGTCAGGAAATGACGACCAGCCACCGACTTGGCATGTGCGGCAACCCACAGTCTGATCACTCTGTTGATGATCTGTATATCTTTCTCATGGAGCATGAGCCGTCAAACGGAGATTTGAGCTCGATTGGGTGTAGAAATGATGGTGACGCGTGGTGATGTTCGTGCGGGCGGAGAAGCCAACCTGAGTACCGGGCTGCTGTATTTGCCGAAAATCTATGTGCACAGAATACGTAGTCGGGGCCCACCAAGAGGCGGGTTGCTGTGGGAAAAGACAAGAACGGAAGTTGAAAATGTTTTGGTGGGTGTTTCGTGTAGAGGGTAGTGGCTCATATGTCACATGCTCGTGGGCATTGGTGAGGCCCAGTCGCTCTTACTGCTTGCCTGAAATGTTCCCCCTCCCAAGTCGGAACATCAAGATGGAAGTAACGACTGTCGTCGTGCGCGTCTGCATGTCTCACCCACGAGTGTTGCCTCTACTTGACAGGTTCGAATGGTCTTCGATTCCCTGCACCAACCGCGCTGTTTCACTGTCGTTGGGCAGCAGCAACAACAAATCAAGTAGACGTAATCACAAACGGGGGTCGCTATTGTTTGGTCTCGCGCTGTTGGCGTCACTAACTTGCAGCTGGTGGTAGACGGCCCAATGTTAAGAGTCGACGGCGCATCCGAAACAAGGCCTCGCTAGCCTTTTTCGATCCCCACTGATCAGCTTTCAGGAGGAAAGGGAGGCCCAGCGGTGTTGGCTCCTCGCCGCCCTTCTATCGTATGCGGGTAAGTGATTCGATGAAACAAGCTGCGGTTGGTAGACAGCCAATCAGTCGTTGGAGCGGGGAAGGCCTGAAGGCAACGACGCTTTCCCATCACGAGCTGATGTCGACGACAGGCTGGTAGCGAGGCCTACGGGTCGCTAGGTACCGCCGTCTCGTCACCTGCACGAGACCAGACGCCGCAGCCACACTCACCTTATGCCCGGATCCGCCCTACCTGCGACCTTCGTCGACACCGACGCTCCGACTCCGAGAGCAACTCGCCCACGTTGTGGCGCAGCCAGCTGAACACGAGGCCACGACAGTTGCATTGGGTCGATCTCCCAGATTAGCAGCGTTCGCCGTCAGGAACCATGCATAGACCGAGGGCTGTTAATAATCAGGGTCTAATACTGTCGAGAGTAACAGAAGTGACGGCTAAAAGGTGGAGGCCCAGTAAAAGACCTTGCGCATGAGGGATACCCAGGGTGCGACGCATGAAGTTCGATGACATCGACGCGGCCGGTCGCCCACAAGGCCTGCAATCAAAGACCTCTTTGTCATTCTGGCCGGTCCGCTGCTGTTCAGACTCCAGAACTTCAGTCTGGCGCCCGTGTCGCAAACACGGCGGTAAGTAACCTCTGCGTTACCTGCAAAAAGTTGCGATTGTGCAACCTGGTTTGTTGTCGGACAAGCCATGGGCGCACGCCCGGTGTGTGTCGAGATGAGCACGTCTGCCAATGGGAGGCTCCGCAGCGGCTTTCGCGAAGGATGCTGATCGTTTCAGCTTTAGCAGGCGATCGCCACTCCACACCATGGCTAGCTCTTCCCACTATGGAGTTATCGATAGGCTAGGATTCGGCATTCCCCTGCATAGTACACAGACCGTCGGCACAAACTTCAAACCTGACGTTGACCCCCTGGCCATAGCCTCGCACCAATGCCTTCCCCTCTGAGTCGCTCTCCGCTTTTTTGTTTCAAGGACAATGCTCTTGTCATGACCACATGGCCAATGGTATCGGTATCGTGCCTGCCGAGAGCTCAGGACTTTGACGTTACACCACTTATCCTGCGCTCGTCCCCCTGCCGCTAAACCGGGAAGGGGACGCCAGCCGAAAGAAGCCCGTCAACCGTTGCAAGAGAAGCCTTGCTCCGTCGAATAGCCTATGCTTCTTCACGATGATCCGCCGGGCATAAGCTCCTGAGTCCTTGCACTGCTGTACGAGCCCGTCCCGACCGCCACAGGCTAGCCATGTGGGTAGACATGAGCCTCCGTATATAACTGATCAGTGTTTCGTCTGCTTTTCCTTCTCATCTCAGGCTATTCACAGCAGTACCAAACTCCTCTCTGTTTCTTTTGCTTTTGCACATCTTGCCTGTGGCAGATCACATTCTTTACCATTGCTGTGCGTCAACGAAGAGCTAGACTCAACAACACTTCTCCCGCCTATATCAAGTACTACTTGCTCTTCGGCCTTCAAACCACCACAGCCATCACATTCATTTCATCGCTCAGCAGGTCTAGCGATATCCAATCGAGAATATCTACTTCTCATATCACTCTTTCAAACATCAACATGTTCTTCTCGACCACCCTACTTGTGGCTCTTGCCGCCAGTGCCTCCGCACATATGACCATCGAGTACCCGGTACCCTACGGCAAAGACACCCTCACCAGCTCTCCCCTCGAGCCCGGAGACTTTCCCTGCAAGCAACGTGCCGGCGTTTACGATGTCACCGAGATGAACCAATGGAATGCTGGTGAAACCAAGGATGTCTCCTTCAAGGGCTCAGCTGTCCATGGAGGAGGTTCATGCCAATTTTCCATTACAACTGATATGGAGCCAACCGAGGCCAGTCAGTGGAAGGTCATTACCAGCGCCATCGGCGGCTGCCCTTCGAATGTCACTGGCAACCTTAAGGAAGACCCCAACGGCCACGGCGCAGCCACTTTCCCCGTCACCATGCCTGACAACATTCCTGAAGGCAAGTACACCTTCGCCTGGACCTGGTTGAACAAGGTCGGCAACCGCGAGTTCTACATGAACTGCGCTCCTCTTCAAGTTGGTGGTGGCGCATCAGCCAAAGCCTCAACCGCCAGTGCGGCCCAAGCCCTGTCGTCTCTTCCTGATATGTTCGTTGCCAACCTCCCTGCCACCGAGTGCACAACCTCGGAAGGTCAGGACTTCAACTACCCCGATCCTGGCCAGAACGTCATTGAGGGAACTGGTGCTACTCTCGGCGACTCCGTCAGCGGCTCCGGATGCTCGACTATGACCAAGATGGGTGCTGGTAACGGACAGATGGGAACGCCAACTCAGCCCGAGGCTTCGCAGCCCGCATCAAGCGAGACCCCTGCTGCTACTTCTGGTTACGCTGCTCTTCCATCCAACGGCGGTGGTGTCTTTGCCCCCGGCGCCTCTTCCGCTCCCGCTGCCGAGCCTACTCCCGCCGAGCCCACTGCTCCTGCTGCACCTACTTCTACTTATGTTGCCGAGCAGCCTAGCAGTGCTCCCGAACAGCCAGCCTACAGCGCGCCTCCTCAGGTGCCCGACAACAGCACTCCCAGCGCACCCTCCAGCGGCAGTGACTGCACCCCCTGTGACAACGATGGCGCTGTTGTATGCATCGGTGCCAACATGTTTGGTCTTTGCAACCGCGGATGTGCTGTTGCCCAGCCGCTTGCCAACGGCATGTCTTGCTCTGGCGGTGCTGTCGTTGCTTCCACCAAGCGATCTCTCAAGTTCCCTCGCGCCCATCTCCACCGTCGCCACGGCTCATCTCTCCTTATCTAAGAGAGTTGCATACGCTCTTACATATCCTCAACAGCCGTCGGCTACGAAATGCAATACACGGAGTTTGGGAAACGGATCAGGACACCCACGGATTGGGTCGTCATACAGGATGGGTTGGGGTTTGGGTCTCTTGTTCATATACCTCTTCATGATGCGCGGATGCCGTTTGGTTCTGGCTCGTGACTGTTTTTGCGCTCTACTGTTGTTACATTCATTCATGACCAGCTCTAGATTGAGCTGGCATGCCCTGTTATTTTTCTTGGAGAGAAGCGCTGTGATCAGCCTCGCGTCTACGAGCGCAACATACCCTGTACTTACTGTACCAAATCATACAAAACCATTGTTCGTTCTACACTATCTTGCTCATATGTATGAATGTCGTGACACTTGCTTCCTTGCTTCCACTTGTGGATCCTTCCTATTATAAAAGCTTTGACATTAGGCCAGTTCCTTTACATTTGCTCATGTTGATGTAGGCCGCAGACCTGTTCAGTTTTTTCCCAGGATGTCGTCAATCTACCACTGAAGACAGCATGGGAAAGCCATGCAATAGCGCATTGTCTGCACTACTCAATCATGATATTTCCATGACTCTACACAACTCTGGCGATAACTACAAACGTAGCGTAGCCAAGCAAAACCACGAGGCTATTCACCGGTTTATGACGTTCATGGGATGGCCGGCTCCTGATTGGGCAGCCTCCCAGGGAACAGCCAAGGGGACCAACTTCCCCTCTGATTCCCACTTTCAGCCCTAAGCTCCTGTCGCCAGCGCACACCCGAGCACGCGACGAGCCAAACGACAAATCCCCCTACGGCCAGTCGACTACTATTATTTCGTGCTGTCAGGCCCCAGAATTCTAACCGCGCCGAGGCCTTCGTTTCGCACGCCGCCGCCACTCAAGCTTAGGCGGTCATTGCGCTCGCCCCACTACTTCGCTGCCTTCACCTCCACCGTCTTCTTGTGCTCGCTCCCTACGCCTTGCTGTTCAGACCGCCCACCATGGAGAACCAACCGCAGGACGTCGACCAGTCCAAGTACATTGACAATGCTATTCGCGCCGTCCGTGAGAAGAAGCCGCTCCCGGAGATTGACTTCACCCTGCATACTATGGAGGATGGAAACCAAGTGAGCACCCAGGAACGTGTGTGCAAAGGTATGCTCATTCTATACGTCGTGGCATGGCATTCCGCCAGCTTGTTCGCGTTTGCGCCGTTTTCGAGGCACACAGTCAGCTAACTGTGCCGTGTTCGCCAGACGTACAAGCACCCGCCTTCCACCCGCCCACCGACGAGCAATTCTTCTCCCCTCAAGATCGCACAAAGCCCAACATCCAATTTCTGAAGCAGCACTTCTACCGCGAAGGTCGCTTGACCGAACAACAGGCGCTATGGATCATAAAGAAGGGCACAGAGATCCTCAAGTCGGAACCCAACATGCTGGAGATGGACGCACCCATTACCGTGTGCGGTGATGTTCACGGGCAATACTACGATCTCATGAAGCTGTTCGAAGTCGGTGGCGACCCAGCAGAGACGCGCTACCTCTTCTTGGGAGACTACGTCGATCGCGGCTATTTCAGTATAGAGGTAAGACGGCAGGAAAGCAACCGCTGTGCATTGGCTGACACTCGTAGTGTGTTTTGTACCTCTGGTCGCTCAAGATCTGGTACCCCAACACCCTCTGGCTTCTCCGAGGAAACCACGAGTGCCGCCATTTGACCGACTACTTCACATTCAAGCTCGAATGTAAGCACAAGTACTCCGAGGCTGTGTACGAAGCCTGCATGGACTCGTTCTGCGCACTTCCCCTAGCGGCTGTTATGAACAAGCAGTTCTTGTGTATACACGGTGGATTGAGCCCCGAGCTTCACACTCTAGACGACCTGAAGAGCGTACGCGAAACTCTACCCTTTCTCACGCCATCGCTAACCTTATCAGATTGATCGTTTCCGCGAGCCACCCACCCACGGCCTCATGTGCGATATCCTCTGGGCTGATCCCCTCGAGGAATTCGGTCAGGAGAAGACCAACGACTTCTTCGTCCACAACCACGTCCGCGGATGCTCATACTTCTTTTCGTACCCCGCTGCGTGCGCTTTCCTCGAGAAGAACAACCTTCTGTCAATCATCCGCGCACACGAGGCGCAAGATGCTGGATACCGAATGTACAGGAAAACACGGACGACTGGTTTCCCCAGTGTCATGACAATCTTCAGCGCGCCGAACTACCTCGACGTATACAACAACAAGGCTGCGGTTCTGAAGTACGAGAACAACGTCATGAACATCCGACAGTTCAACTGCACACCGCATCCATACTGGCTACCTAACTTCATGGACGTCTTCACATGGTCATTGCCATTTGTCGGCGAAAAGAGTGAGCAGAAGTACCAATTCACACTGGAGTATCATACTAACAAGTCGTAGTTACTGACATGCTCATTGCGATCCTAAACACCTGTTCGAAGGAGGAGCTCGAAGAGGAGACGCCCAGCTCTCTGGCTTCCGGTCCATCATCGCCACCTCTCTCCAGTCTCGACCCAGATTCGACCGAGTTCAAGCGACGTGCGATCAAAAACAAGATTCTGGCGATTGGTCGCCTCTCTCGTGTATTCCAAGTGCTGCGCGAGGAGTCTGAGCGTGTTACTGAGCTCAAGACTGCATCGGGCGGTCGACTTCCCGCGGGTACGCTCATGCTCGGTGCGGAGGGAATCAAGCAGGCGATTCACAGCTTTGAGGACGCACGCAAGGTCGATTTGCAGAACGAGAGGCTCCCGCCGAGCCACGAGGAGGTGCGAAAGTCTCAGGAGGTTAGCCGAGAGCAGGCTCTCGAGAAGGCCACCAAAGAAGCCGACAACGACCAAGGTCTCGCGACTGTCGCAAGACGCATCAGCATGTAAGCATCGATCCTACGTAGCTTGTCGTGCAGTAACTAATTCGCATAGGTCATCTGGCTCTGGACGCAGCCGGAGAAGCTAGGCGCGATTCAAGCGCTCGCGATCCGAGAGCGAAGCCGATAGACGAGCTATGACATTGCAGGATGTTTAGGTTCTTGATTTCTGTATTGGCGGGCCACCAAATGTCATCAGTATACCACGTAGGCGTATTCGGGCCAGCGTAACCTAGAGGACATCACCTTACGAAGCACGGTAGTAATTTGTCGGTCGACTGCTCAAGTTTAAGGGTGTCGACCTCTCATTGAATCACATAAAATCAAATTCCTATGACACTAGTGTATAGCCACTGCTCAGTGTGAAGGTGTATGAGACTGCGCACGGGCCCGGGCCGAAGCTAGCTTTGCCGACCTACGTCAACATGGACATTTCAACAGCAATGCTCAACTTCAAGCCCGATGCCTCCATGGGTGGCCTCAGTGCCGCGACTGACGATCTTTCGCAAGACAGGACCGACTGATCGGCTCCCGCTTGCGCGTCGCTGTCGCAATGTCCTTACTTCACGCCCGACCATCAGCCTCCGCGTGCGCTCCGCATCGACGCATGTCTCCCCGACCGCGATAAATCTGCGCCCGCACATCCCACCTCGGAACAAGGAGTTGTACGATGCACTGTCAGCGCTTAGTGGAGCCGCCGAGACCTACGTCAATATAAGCAGATTGCAATTGGCATTGCGGGGTCTGGCGGCGCAGGATGCTGTAACAAGAGTCGCTGGTACGGAACGCGCAGTTGAATTTGACGACTAGGGGCTGACGATGGACAGTTCTCGGTTTGAACAGCCAATTGAGTGCGCAGCAGCTTGCACGGCTACTACTCGCAGATCCGCTCAGTGCTGAGGAGCAGTGGGAGAAGGAACTCGTGAAATCAGGCGACAGCAACGAGAGAGCGGTATTGCTAAAGTATGTGCTTGATCTGCCATACTGGATAGCGCACCAGCTGACATGATTATTGTACAGATACGGCGACGATGTCGATGCACATGCGCCTTCGCCCCTCTACAAGGTCCTCTCTATACCCTCACGAACCCTTCAATCGCACAACCTTGAGGTCCTCGTCTCTACCATCAACGTCAATGTCGCAAAGTCCCTACCTCATATGGTTACGGAGAGCTCCACCGAATCGTTGCTGGTTCCCAAGCTCCAGGCCACTTCCGCACGGGGATTGCCCGTCCCATACCCGGTACACAAGACTCTAGTATTAGGAGAAGGACTGGACAGCGCCATAGCATTTGGAAGATTCTCGGCGGATGGGCTGAACGAGATGGATGATGTGGTAAAGATGGCCGTCGACCTCCCCGCCCCATCGGACGAAGTCAAGTCAGATACCCACGCCGCAAGCGCTCCCATCAACCTACAAGTTGGCACGAAAGCGCTCGACAGCTTCCGCGAGTCGATCCAAAATTCCATCATCTATGAGCGAGGGTGGTTCAAAAGTGGTTTGCCAACGCTGTCGGAGTGGTTAGTCCAAGACCTTCAGGCCACAGACGCTATCAAGCCCCCGATGAAGACGCTTGTAGCATCTATAGCCGACGACGTAGAAGCGAGCATCACCAAACAAGACGCTGCTCGATTGCAACAGCTTGCTCCAGTCCAGACACAATCAGACGTCACAACCTCCATCGTCGGTCATCTTGAGACCTGGGCCGAGAAGTCTCATGCGGAGCTCCGTGACGAGCTTGATGAAGCCTTCACGACTCGAAACTGGCACAAATTGGCTTGGTGGAAGCTCCTCTGGCGTGTCGACGACGTCACTATGATAAGCTCGGAGATCCTCGAACGGCGATGGCTCGTCTCAGCGGAGAAGAACAGCATCTACCTCGCCGGTCGCATGAACCAAGCTGGTTTCCCAGATGACGTCCAACACCTCGCCGTTGCCGACATCCCGGAAGTGACAACGCAGGACACAGCGCCGACAGCAGAGAATCCGCGAACAGATCTATCCACCAACGTCCGGAAACCAATACCATGGCCCGAACACATCGCGGCTGCTCGCACAGAACTCATCAACGACACCGTGCCACCTCTGCAGGCACTCGCCCAACGACTTCTCCTACAGACCTTCAGCACAACATCCCTCTCGTCCGCTGCCTCGGCACTGCTCTACGCCTCCATGTCTACCTTCTCCGTCTTCGAGGCTTCAGCCGTCGCGGCACTCGGTCTTACGTTTTCTCTTCGCCGCATGCAGAAACTATGGGAAGGTGCCAGAGAATCATGGGAGGGTACCCTGAGAGAAGAGGGTAGACGCACGTTGAAGGGTACAGAGGAGAGAGTCAGATTCATCATCAAGAATGGAGGCAAGGAGTACATTGAGGATGAAAGTGTAGCCGAGAGGAGGGCAGCTAGGGAAGCTGTAGCAAAGGTTAGAGACGCACTTGAGCGGATGGACGGTGGAGATGGCAAGGGCAGTGTATGATAGATATGTATGAACTTGATTCAGTGTCGCGGAACAGTCTTCCGTCGTAGTTGAATCAAAATTGGTGATTTCCCCAGTTTACCTTCTCTCTCGACTCAAGTATTCCGCGGTGTAAGAGTTGCCTGTGTTGCTATGTCTGGGTGAAGTGGGATGACACGATCTCAGCGCAGGTTGCGCATTGCAGGTTGCCTGCAGGTTGCTTATTCACTGCAACCTGCCAACATCCTATCTTTTTTCTAAAACTAAATGTAGCCTGAATCAGCGCGAATTCGCGCCGATTTGGAGTGATTCTGCCTTATTCACTAACTTTCTGTGGCGTATTCTTGCAAGAGTACGAGGCCGTCACTGTAGTGTTGCCTACAGTACGTGACGGTGCCTGACTGTGCAGCATCGTCTATCGTGGCAGCCTAGCCTGCTCTACACTTCTTAACAAAGCCCTGTCTGGTGCATAGACAGAGCCTACACGGTCTTGCTCTGCACAGCATCTAATATTATGTAGAGGTAGAAGAACATGCACGTATATTTTCTAGAGAGCAGCGCACTTAGGCGGTAGAGGTACAAAAGGTAAAGGTAAGCACTTTTATGTATTTGTACATAGCTAGCTATCTGTAGAAGCTGTGCTACTAGCAGAAGAACTAAATGCAAAAGCTAGTGTGCTCACTAAGGAGGTACATGTAGAATCAGTGTGAAAAGTATGTGAAGTCGAAAGCAGCAAAGTCAGCACAAGAAAACAAAAAGCAAAGTGCACATGCTAGAGCAGTTAAGGCATTTGTCCGACCCTAGCTCGAACAGACGTGCCTAAACGCATGTTCATTTGGTCAGAGTTATAAACCACGCTTGAGATGATACTCGACAAAGGAAGGAATTATAAGCACAAAGACCGAACGTGTGGGACCAGGCAGTCCGAAGAGAAGTCTTGCATGTCTGCTCTAGAGAAGTTAGCTATGTTGAAGAGTGAGGAGAAAAGTAAGCGGCTTGAAGAAGAGAAGACTTACTTGAGCCGAGACCAGGCGAAGAATGGCTATAGCATCACTTCAGCTTTGCCTTCAGGTAGCGGCCGAACTTATTCTTATAATCCCTCTCCCGATCAGCAGAATTGGCCTTCACCCATCTGTTCCACATGCGCATATGCTTTGTTATCTGTTCAAATGCGACTTTTCGTCTTTCTGTGGGTAATCCTCTGGCCGAGAAGGTGATGTGATAGTCGGTGGTGCCCCGGCTGGTCTCGTGGGGATTGATCGTATACTGGATCTGGTTCCTTGTTAGCACATGTGCAAGAGTTAAAGTTGAGTACATACGTCGTGCGCATTATGGGTTCCAGATTCTGACTCGTCTGAACCCTCTTCTTGTGTAGGCGCAGTTGCATCGGAGCTGAATTCTGCGTTATTGGGCATCGGCCTTCGTCCTTCAGGAGCCCGTTGCTTTCCAGAGGCCTTGAACGAGGATGCCGATTGAGCTCCACCTCGTGCACTCTTTGGGATGCTCGCTGGTATCCTTACTTCCACACTTTGTCCCTGATCATAAAGAGTTATAATATCCATGCGTTAGACGTTATTCTCTTAGTTTGCTCACCCGACGACGTGGGATCGACACGCTTGATACCATAACCCTTGGCTTTGAAGAGAGAAGTGAGGGAATGGGACCGTCATCTTCTTCGTTGTCCGACGCTGCAACATCTGGGATGTAATCCCGGCTATCGTCCTTGGGTTCGTACATGCGCCCACGGTCATCCTGGAACGGCGAGTAGCGCATTGCGCCGTCAGATGTTGGTTTCCCTGAGCGTGTAGGACGTGCAGAAGGAGACGACATCTTAATAACGATGGCTAGGATTGATAGAAGCTGGAATGGGAGTGTGACTAGCACGGACTTGTTGTTGCTGTCAAGGTGCTAGTATAGTGTAGTGTAAGAAGTCAAAATTTAAACTAGAGAAGAGACACCTAAATAGTACTAGGTCCTATCTGTACCAGAGGTCAAATAGGCACCTGTCTCTCACCCCTAATGTGGTAGGTGCGTCGCCTACCCCGCCTTTACAAAAGAGAGATGAAAAGTTATAGGTGAAGGCAAAGGGCGGTATGTTGTGACCAACAAGAGCTAGCTGGCGGTGTCTGAGGGACAGACAGCGAGTGGCTCCTGGCTGTGGGAGAGCAGCGTTTGCAACGGGCGGAAATGAACAGGTCAACAAACATAGACGCCAATGCCGCAGTGACGGTGGGAAAAGGACTGACGTTGAGCGGAAGTGGATGATGGGCAGGCTCAGTCGCAACTTAGTCACCTAGTCTGAACAACAAGAAAAGCACACAAAGTGACTGGCGTAACAAGAGTGTTGAACATGAAGTGTATAATATGAAGTTCAACTTTAATTATGATCTGAATAAACACCAAACAAACCGAAGCGCTAGCTAGACATTGTAGTGACTGTGCAGCAACGCTGTACAAAATACCAACTGAGTATACTCGCAAAACATCAAAACAGAATGCTACTGTGTACGGCCACTCCATCGCAGACCCATTTAGAAGATCTCGCCAAGTCGAGGCTTTCCACCCTTCCAATCATTGCGCTCGTAGTATCGGAAGACAAGATCGTAGCCATCCAAGTCATGTACAATGCGGTCGACGCGACGGTATCCCGCAATTGTCTCCATCCTCTTCGCCTTCTCAATGTTCTTGGCGGGCATCTCGTCAGCAGTAGGCTTAGCCTCGAAAAGAGTGACGCTGAACCTGCCAGGCTTGAAGATGCCGACGACATGCTCGACGACGTCAGCCGTCTCTCTACCAGTCTGGCGGGCAGGTACATTGGTCTCGAACGAGGCGTAGGAGCACTGGGGCTCAGGTGTGACGTGTACAGTGAAGTAGTGGGTGGCATCAGAACCCTTCTTGGAGCCGTTGGGAGCACCACCTGGGGCAGGAATGACGCCGTTGGCAGAGAAGCCACAGGGCGTGAACAGGTAGGCGTCGATGCGGGCGTCGGGGTACTTGGAGGTAGGGTAAACATCGGCCAGACCACAGTGCTCAGAAACAACCGTGCCGAGCGTATGGCCCTCAGTGGTCAACTCCTCCGGGAAAGTAAGCTCCTCGTCAGAGTTGAAACCAGAGTGGTCGGAAGAAGTCTGCTCGAACACGTCGAAGCTGTCGTCAGAGGTATGGGTGTTAGCAGCGGAATTGAGGACAGTGGAGCCGCCGAGGCTCTCGCTGTGGCCATTCTCTTCCGCAATGGTACCTAGGGACTGGATGGCGTTCTTGCGAGCCTCACGGGCCCTCTGGATGTAGCGACCTTCCGCAACCGCACTTGCGTCCTCTAGATAGAACTGACGGGCGTTCTTCTCATCGAGGTCGGTCATCAGGATCTCCAGAGTCTCGTCCTCTTCTTCGTCGGTGGCCTGCTCACGCAACATGCGTTGAGGGTGGCTCACGAACTTGGTCTCGGTGTCAGGCGCAAGCTTCTCCTCACCAGGACTGGGAGGTGGAGTGAGGCTGGTGTCTGGACCGGTAATGTAGAGGTACCAATGTTCGCCGTTCATCTTGCCAATCATATAGGCACTGCCACCCTGGAAGCGGTCGTCAAGGTAGCGAACCTCATCACGCCAGCTGCGGTGGGGTCCACGCTGCTGATCGGGGTAGAGGTAGTTCTTCCTGCTGTAGAACACGCGGTATGGTGTGGCAGCTGGCGCGACGCCCGATGCCTTGGGTGCAACGAAGGGGAAGCCGACCCCTGCAGCAATCTCCAGCATACGGGTGAGACCCCATAGTAGAGTTGTGGTTCCGCAGGTCTTGAGCACGACCTTGTGAGGAAAGACGAACATGCTCGACTCGGACAAGAGGTAAGCGTCGACATGTTCAGACTCGATGACAGAGAGAACCTTGCAGTTGACAAGATCGAGCATGTCCTTCCAGACATCTGCCGACACCGTCTTCAGTCCAGTTGGGCCGGCCTGTCCAGGCAGTTCGGTAGCAGAAGCGCTAAACCATACTTCCAAAAGCTTCTCAGGACCCTCAAACGAGTTGGTAGAGTCGAGATCGATGGTAGCCTCCTTGTTGATGGTCAAATGAGGGGTGCCAATGTGCGACGAAGGCGAGGCAGTGTAGTGCTGAGGAATCTCAGTAGCGACCATCTCTTGACTGTGTGGCTGTCGCGCGCACGAACAGGTATGATAGGTGTGGTTGGGGGCCGTGGCTGTACGGAAGCTTGGAGAGGTGGCTAGCTGGAAGCTATGTGCAGCACAACCTCGCTCAGACAAGCAATGCGGTGCTCGCCTGAGAAGAATTGGCCCACGGGTCGCAAAGAGTAGGCGAGGCTGGCGTGTGCCAGCAGCAGTTTATGGAGGAGAGGGTAACCGACCGTAGTCGATGTTAGGGAGGTCGGGCGTTGAGGGGAATAAACGAGGCCTTTCGCCGGGAAATGGTGGCAGTGGTTGGGGTCCTCGCGATACCAGATTCCGATACCCTGGGCAAGTATCGGGTCCAGCAGACGAGGAGATCTGCTTTAGATGGGTACGATGGTGGGTGGTGAAGGACGGGGCGTGGCGGGTGTTATCGAGGCCTGTGAATAGTCAGCGCTGGCCGTTGGAATGTCTTGCACACTGCTTCTCGCGGAGACAACGACTCACTTCGCAGGCTTGGACAGAAAGCGTACCAGGTCCTCGCGACGCATAGAAGAGCCGAGGTGGGCGGCGATAGACGGTCTGCGGGCTACTGAAGCCTAGGCAGTGGTGGAGAGGGAGGAGAGTAGGTCTGCCAGCGTGACGATGTAGGTCTGGTGGGGAGCGTTGAGCAGAGAGTCAATGCAACGGCGTTGGGCGCTGATAGAATCTGCGTGAATGAGCGGGCGGACGTGACGAGGTTATATTCCCACACGGCAGGCGCAAGAGATAGGCGTGTGCAGAGTGTCAGGAGAGCGACGTACTGTGCGCAGTGGGTGCAAACTTGACTAGGGGAATTTGACGTGTGTGGTGCTGGGGCGACGTCGTGGAAGCTTCGGGCCTTCACGCGACAGCGATTTTTCACGAGTGCGGTGTTTTCGCATCAGGACGTCACCGCCCGTCCCAGTTGGCTGGAGCGCCCCGCCGTCTGCCATTTCACCCGACTCGGCCACCCGCCATGTGCCTGACACAAGACGCGAATAGGTCCGACTGCCACTGCTGCCATGATCGGCTGCTGCTATGTGCATCAGGGAACATGCTGCCTCTGCCATTCTACACTACGCCACGCTGGGATTAGCAGCACATGATCACGGCTTTACACGTACGTACCAATGGTACCTGATCTCACCAGCACAGCCTTACGCCATCAATCAGAACCCGATGGGCATGTAGTCTATGCTCCTTTGCAATCTCTCTCGTCAAGGTATCCCAATTCAAACGCAGCTGCTGTACATCGCTACGTGCGACCACCTCTCACAGCCAGGGCGAAAATTCACACCATCCAATATAGCCAAGTTGATTGTATTGCCCGGAATAATAATCGCACAAACTGCGTATACATGTATAACACCTCCCCATAAGGACACCAGGCCCTATGGCACCAGCACAGCCCCTGCAACAAGCAAGCATACTCCCAGTACTCGTTACTACGGGCCGAAACACCAGGCGTACCCGTCCAACTTTGTTCCAGCTTAATCGCATACAACAAACCTGATATATCTATATCCTGAATCAACACTTATTACCACCTAACCTTCCCTTTCAGGCATCTTCAACTTCAGCTTCCCGCTATCGATCATCATCTCGAAACATTCTCTCAGATCCAATACCAGTGCATCTGGTGCCTCGAAGCCTGGCAACATTGCAGGGCGGCCGGCATGGCGCTTCACCCAGGGTATGTCCCAGGAACGTGCACCCCACATTAGCGGTGTTGCGTTGCTGCTGTTAGGATGGAGGAACGTGGAGATGCCAAGGGGAGTGGATGCGAAGGGTTGGTAAGAGGGGGATTGCATGTCGATGTGCGCGCGGCGGAGCCAGCGGAGGGCCTATTCGTCGTCAGACGTCAGCGGTGAGGAACTTCAGACGAAGAGTTCCAAGGGTAGACCAAGATGAGCTTCAGCAGATCCTCAAGTGGCAAAGAGTACGTCACAAACAGCGGCGAGTGCCTCCCAACCTCCTCATAACAAGCGCGTCAAATATGTGAAAAGGGTAACGTACCGCTTCAGGCCCTGGTAACCATTGCAACATTGTAAAATTCAGCACCTCCGTAGGACTCCATGTATAACTCTTCCCATCGCCGTCCACTCTATCTGGGCTCGTCGCACCTCCAGGTTGTGCCGTAGATGTCGAAGGAACATCCTCCTCTTCCTCCTGCTCTTCCTCACCACGCTGCATCTCTAGCTCAACCGGTGAAAGAAAGGGACTCCTTGGCCGCGACGAGAGAGGACGCGGTGGTACATCTCTCGTATGTATGATATCGAGCAAGGCGGCGAGCAATCCCACTGGCGAGTCGCATAAAGAGAAGGCCAATGTCTGCGGTCGAAGCGAGTAGAGACGATGCAGCGTAGGTCCTAGCAGCTCACCGCCATACACTGCATCCAATGTTGCCGGGTCTTTCCCATGCAGGCCTTTCGGAGGTGCCTGCAGTTCATTCGGCGTATATCCAAAACTAAGTAACGGCACCTTTGCTCGTGTCAGCTTCGCAACCCGGTACTTGAGATACCGCATCGACCCGCTCTTCAAGTTCGGCTTGTCAAACGATGGATTCGTAGTATGCACCGCCCGACAACTCTCTGGGTGTCTCAATGCCAACGCGCGACATATACCAAATCCCCT